CCGAGGGAGAATCCATTTATTGACTGAAGTATTTCCACAACGGTAGATGGCAATTTGTCGATTTTCAGCAAGTTACTTTTGGACCTTCTTCCTGTTGATCTAACACGTGTGTGTGTGTGGGTGTTTCTGTGTGTGTGTGTGGGTGTTTCTGTGTGTGTGTGTGTGTGTTTCTGTGTGTGTGTGTGTGTGTGTGTGTGTTTCTGTGTGTGTGTGTGTGTGTTTCTGTGTGTGTGTGTGTGTGTGTGTGTGTGTGTGTGTGTGTGTGTGTGTGTGTTTCTGTGTGTGTGTGGGTGTGTGTGTGTGTGTGTGTGTGTGTGTGTTTCTGTGTGTGTGTGTGTGTTTCTGTGTGTGTGTGTGTGTGTTTCTGTGTGTGTGTGTGTGTGTGTGTTTCTGTGTGTGTGTGTGTGTGTGTGTGTGTGTGTGTGTTTCTGTGTGTGTGTGTGTGTTTCTGTGTGTGTGTGTGTGTGTGTGTGTTTCTGTGTGTGGGTGTGTGTGTGTGTGTGTGTGTGTGTGTGTTTCTGTGTGTGTGTGTGTGTTTCTGTGTGTGTGTGTGTGTGTTTCTGTGTGTGTGTGTGTGTGTGTGTTTCTGTGTGTGTGTGTGTGTGTGTGTGTGTGTGTGTGTGTGTGTGTGTGTGTGTGTGTGTGTGTGTGTGTGTGTGTGTGTGTGTTTCTGTGTGTGTGTGTTTCAGTGTGTGTGTGAGAGTCCTACTTTGAGATATGACACATTTTCAGCTGAGCTAACTCACTATGTCATTGGACATATGCAAAGAGATTAGATCAAAGAAAAGTTCCCCAGAGTAATTTTACATTACGAGCGCAAATGGCCAATTTGGAAGCATTTATGCAGTATACAGTATCTTTCTGCTATGGAGTTCCACGACTGTAAATGCATGCTGGGACTTTGGGTTCATGGCTGAATTTTCACTTATATACACAGTATTTCAGACTGCGACACAAACACTAAGCAGAGACAGAGATAAGGAGCAGGCGGGCAGTTTGAGTGACTCATGGGAGAGCGGGGACACACAGCCGAGTGCAGCTTTCAGTCCCTGCAGCATGGTGACCAGTAATAAGTCAAAGCTGGATGTTTGGAGAGGCTTGCCCTGGTAATCCCAGAAGAGTACAGCAACAGGCCGGGGTGAGAGGGGTGAGCTCCTCTCTGCTGCACTGCTGTCATCACTAACATGCCTAATAATTAAAGAAAATACAAGCCTTAAAGAGTGGATCAGAATCTTTTCTCCTCAGTCAGCTCTCTGTGGGAGGAATGTCCAGTGCTGCCGTACATGTTTGGTTTGGTGAGGTCCAGGCCTGCTGATGGGAAGGCAGTTCACTGTTCCTGTGATGTTCCGGGAAGTGGTGAAAGAGGGAGTGTGTTGCCTCGGCTCCAACCCCGGTCCGGCTCTGAACGACTCGATCATTCACTTTCTGTTTCTGTGGGCTGGAGCTGGACCAGGTCTGCTCAATCTGATGCATTCAGACCAAAACCCAGCCACATGCCAGACAGTGACAGAGTCTAGGGGATGGGGGGGGTGTAGGTGCTTTCAGGGTGGCACTGCCAGCCAAAAACATATCTGGACTCCTTACATATATTCTACTAAAGTATTTCACTATAGGTGATAAAACCTGAGGTGTCAGTTGAGGTGGTATCAACAGAAAGTCTTCAACTCCCCCCACATATCACAGCTGAACATAACTAATAACCTCTGTAACCACATCTGTACTCCAGGAGACCCTCACTGATGTATTGCCTGAAGGTGTCTGAAGACATTTTATTTTTTTATAACCTGTTTAAGCATTAGATCTATTTAAAAACACTGTTTTTTAATGAGTTAGTGTTGTCAAGATACCAGAATTTTTTACTTTAATACGATACCAGTAAAAATCTAAGAAAACTGATACCTGTCTTGGTGCAACAGCAACAACAATACAAATCCTAGGCACCCAATACTGGATAGTTTCTTGATAATTTAAAGACCAAAAGATACAACCTCACTCCTGCAGACGGTCTTAAAAACACAAATGTGTTGCCAACATATTCATGCACTTTAGACAGTGTCACCTCTTCTGACTTTTTGTTTTTGTAAAAGACATTAATGTAACTATTGCATCTTTTTGAGACACCAAAAAGTCTTCAGTATTTCTATATATACGTTTTGCAGTCGTATCCATAGAAGGATCAGAGGACTCAACTGTTGTTTTGACAAATGCACAAACTGAAGATTTCCAGAATGTTTTGCAAGTGTGAACGTTGCCAAATGTGTCACCCTGACTTTACCTGGAAGTTTTACTGACTACACCCTGGTAAAATTTGACTTTGTAGATTTGTAGGAAAGGGACACTGAGTGGCGCAAAACCTGAGGCATAGCCCCAGGGTATCAGGCAGTGCTTCACGGGTTACATTATGAGGTAAACGCTGCACTGCTGATCGGGAAAAGTTCTACTTAAACTGCTCCGACACAGTTTTTTTTAAAAGTAAATAATGTGCATTAACGGCTGGTTGTATGCACACACTGGGGCTGGGTCCTGAACTCAATGGCCCTGTGCCTCAGTACAGCCGCTGCCCACTGCAAAGCCCCCTCAGATCACCACAGAGGCCTGAATGAACCGACACTGTCCACAGGCACTGAGTGACCGGCTCTGTACCCACAGACGCCCTCACACACGCAGAGACAGAGCAAACACAGACCGACCGCCAGGCCAGGCTGAGCCGAGAGGCATTTCAGCCCCGCCATTTTGCAATGTAATTAACTTCTCTCTGTCCATGTTGAGCCGGAGCAAAAAAACCTCACATGGAAATTAAATAAACAGAGGGGGCACAGAGGACACACAACTCATTTCCCCTAATACCTCAATAAAACTCTGGCTCGTTTTGATTGCAAACATGGACCCTCACATCGGGCTCAAGGCACGATTGTGAGATTTAAATCTTAAGAATGTCACATTGAATGCAGGCCAAGTGCTATATATACTATGAATACAACAACAGTCTGTTATTAACACACTTATCAACAGTTTAATACTGCAGACACAGTCACCTAAAGGCCCGCTAGGTACGAGCCTGACACTCAAAAAGAAGAGAAAGGTGAGTTTTGAATTGCAGGTGAAGGAGACATCGGGGGGGGGAGGGGGGGGATCAAAGCGGAGTCATGGAGTAAATGGATACTGGAACCATAAGCCCTAAAGTCATCTTCCCTTTATTTAATAAAGCAGCAATGGCCCCAGCAGAGGACTCAAGGTTTATGAGGTTGTTTTTTAAATTCCAATTTGGCACGGGGCACCGCTGCGAGCTTGTTTTATTTTTCCGTGATTTAGTTTAATAAGTTCCTAAATACTCGGCTGTCTTACTGCTTTGCTTTACAGGTTCAGGAACATAAAGAGACTCAATGAAAAGAGGAGGAGAAACGGCTTCAGTATAAAGTTAATAGTGCAGAGTATGGCGCCATTAAGCTCTGCATAGAAGACATTTCCTAAAATATCTGTAGATATCTGCATAAAGCTGATGTAGACATCTTCTGACTGGATATTTTTTTTCTTCTTCTGTTTCTACACCAGACTCGCCCTCTGACCTTTCCATAGTGAAACACACGCGTTAATGCGCCTCAGCCCTCCGCTGTGAACTAGTCCTCTTCCACCTCTGAACTAGAACGCCTCCAAACAACATCGTGGAAATCTGGCATTTCTGCAGTATTTACTGGATTCAAATGTTTTCCTTACAAACACAACTGAGCCTGTTTATGATGGAGGGGAATCTGCATTTTTTCCAGTCTCTGTCAGTTTAACACAACACTCTGACCTCCGTCGAGTGAACCACAAACACCCACTTACCTGCTGAGCATCGGTAATAAATATTTACCCAAACGGAAAGATGTGAGGGAGTAATTACAGAGTTAACTACAAATTGCCAGTAAATGTGTTGTTTTTCTACCTGAACGAGAATTCCTGTTCTTATAAAACATGGGCACTTTTTGTTTTTTCATATATTTTTGGTATAAATGTACAAAAAGCAGAAAAAAATTGGACTTGCTCCAGTTGACTGCAGCTGCCAAACAACGTTATTGTCCGCAATTTTATCCTTTAGGGTAAATCAATCTTGTGAATTACAGACTCTTCAAGTTCTTGTTTGTGTCACTGATGGGTTCATGTTGTTAAAAAAGAAACTGTCAACTTTATGAAAATAATTAACATAGAAAATGAACTTCACTCATGTGTAAAGATCTCTTTTTAACAAGAAACAGATGTCAAGTTTTCACCCTTTTTTAAAGCCACCAAACTTCATTAACATTCAGAGTGTTTTTACATCACAGAACAACAAAGTCATTGGTTTACCACTAACTCAATCGGTTCGTTTTCTTGTATTATTATGTTGCATTGAACCTGAACCTAACATTTAAAACCCAAAGTCATACTACAATAATAACAAACTGCCTCGTTAAGGCAGCTAGAACTCCCAAGTTCTCTTAGTTAAACTTTTTTTTAATGGGGTCTGGTGTCTTTTGAAAAAGTGATGCATCAGCATTTCTGGTTTTAAAAAAAGCATCTTAATCTTTAACAAAGAAGTTTGACAGTTCATGGATCCTTTCGGTAATGTTGCCAGGTACTTAGAATAACATGAGCATTATATAAACAAAGAACTATGATAGAAATGTATTTAATTCAGGGACACTTGCTCCAAGTATTACTTTGCAGCCATTGTAGCACAATATGCAGCTGGTGGCTGAAGCAATCTTAGAGGAATAAAATAAAATTATATACCAAATCATCAATACGAATTCAAAAATATATATATTAAATAATATTTCATTTTAAATAAATAGAATTGTTAAACCCGTGAAGAACAAAATGTGTACATATGCACATATGCGCATTAAGTTTTTTAAACTTTATTCTTAAATACGAATAGGTAACACATATTTGAATTGTTGGATATTAAAAGTAGACATGCCACTTGTCATCTCCTGCAGAACATATGGAAATTAGGTTTGAGGAAGTTGAGTACGAACCTGCAGCAGCAGCCTCTCGAAGGCGAGGCAGGCGTCCCAGCGGGGCAGGTGGGGGTGGCGCAGTGTCTGCGCTGTAGCCAGGCCCAGCTGGAGCACCCCGCAGTAACTCTCTAGCGCCCCCCAGCTGCTCCGGAACAGCTGGACATAGGAGCACAGCTGTTCAGGAGTCACACGGCCTGAGAAGAGGGAAAGAGATACTGTAAATATCTTGATGGGTCACAAATTCATCCATCAATACTGAATTATCTAAAATGACATGATGCAGTATTTTGTTTATAAGCCAACAAAGCATTCTTGACTGTTAGCCTTTAACAGTCTTTTATTGTGTTTTATGCTACAAACAAATACAGGTGTTAAAGGTCGCAGTGGACACACACATATCATCTCAGCTCTTGACAGGAAGAGTGTAGAAACAGAATAAACAGACACCCTTTACCAAGCATAACAGCATTTTTAATAAAGATCACACACTCAGCTCAGGGCAGAGGGGAGGAACTGATACCATAACAGACAAAAATATTATCTCAATGAGCAAAACGTCCACCAGCTGTGAGACACACAGAGCTGTTCAGAAGTGTGTGTGTGTGTGTGTGTGTGTGTGTGTGTGTGTGTGTGTGTGTGTGTGTGTGTGTGTGTGCCAGTCAGAGAGCAATACTCATGTGTGCATCCTCCAGGTAGAGAGGTACTATCAGAGTATTAAGTGAAGTGTTTACACACGACTGTCTTTTCTTAGTTTTGACTAAGACTGCAAAATTAATCACAATTTCCTCGTTAGCTGTTATTTCACACCATTTTGATTCCATCAAACGAAGCTTAAGCTAGCCATCAGCTGCTCTTGGGTTAAATGGTGTCAATTTATTGGTGAACAAAGTGAAACATATTGCAAAAAGTTATAATGAGAACATTAAAAAACAAACAGGGGATACACACTCAAACTGTGACTTTTACCTAAAATTGTATGCACTCTTTAATATATATGTATTTAGCGTACTTCATATTGTATGACAGTATAGAGCAATGTCAACGAACATTGCATATTTGGACCTCACGTCTCTGTGGTGCAACCAAACAATGACACGAATTAAAAACTGGTTTCATTCAGGGATTAGTGTGAACTTAACGCCCTGATTCAAGACAGAACAGACACAGAGTTGCTGCAACAGGTCACAGGTGTATATTATGCACTGTAACACTAGTGTTGAAAGTGTGTGCTGAGATAAATATATGTTGGGTGACTGTATACTTAAGAGATGGAAGGTTTGGAGTATTTACAATAAATACAAACTGTTTTCTGAATAAAGTCGTGTCTCAGAAATCAATCTGTCTCTTTGTTGGACACATTTGAGTGAAAAAGTCTTACGGCATTCATTCTCTATATGTGTATTTATGTTTTATAAAAAACCTAACCTGAGCCAGACCAATCAACAATAAGAGGAAGAAATACTCCATCAATGAATGATGAGTCGTATGCTGTCATTTTTTACCTAGATTAGACCACTTTACTGTACTATTAGTACTCAACTCAGGTATCAGACTCTGTATGTGGAAGCACTGAAAGCTGAACATCCCAAAATGTTCTCTAAATATTGAAAAAGGCCGCAGAAAGGGACTATAGACTCCCAGTCTCTTTAGGACCCTCTGCCTCCTACCAGCCCTCCTGTGAAGATTCACAAAGACACAGGAAGGACGGTGTAAAGGGTGTAAGGCCGGGGGATCGGGGGGTGTGCAGGGTGGCCTGAAGGTACGAGGGGCTGTGTCAGGGGCTGGGATCGAGAGGGTGGGGGGGGGCACACATTAACTCCCCATAAAAGCCTTCTTCTTCATGTTGACGTTCTGAACCAGCACCAGATGTGGGAGTATTTCCTGTTGGACTACATGGCCAGTGTTTTCTTTAGTGAGGCCAAACACAAAAGTAGAGGAGAAACAGAGAAGCAGGATAGAACAATGGAGCAAAAATCTCCACAATACAAGGTAAAACGTTGGCGCCCACAACCAATAAAACCAGAAAAATGTTTAAAATTTTAAGACTGAGAGACTCAAATTTCAAATTATTTGGAAAAGGAAGTTAGAGGGAATCATCCAGTGAAGTTTGTAAAGACACGTTATGTGTGTCATCTACAAATTGTACAAGAAAAGTAGAGAAAGTCTACAAAAAGGAGCTACGTTTCTTTGCTGAAATTAGGGTTTTTTTTCGGTAAATGCTCCAGTCCAGACATATTAAAAAATCCTGAAAAGCTCTATTGTGAACATATCGAGCCATAAAATCCTGGCAGTGTAACCTGGGTTCACAGAGCTTGATGTGCCAACCATAATTCAGCACAGAACCAGGAAACACGTCCATGGCAAGAGCCAAGCATAATTCAATCCGAGAATAGGCAACCTAAGAATGGTGCACTGTTGGCCAAATACATCAGACTTTACAGCCCGGGTAGATCACAAGAGAGCGAGTGAGAAAATGTAAAAATGTTGGAAAAAGAACACAAGAGGAGAAAGCCACACAAAAGCCTGTTCTCCATTACACAATCAAACAACCACTGGCCGAGCTGCAGCGCTTATCTCTGTCACTAAACTTCCCTCCAAACACTTCTGTGATTCCTCCAGCATCTTGTTTCCAGATGCAGAAAGTCTGAGGAGACGATCTGTCAGCTGAGCTTCAGTTTCAAACTGGACTCTTTTTGCAGCCAGGAAAAAGTTCTTATTTTAAGCGTGCGATAAATAAGACCTCACCTGTTACAAGATATTGTTCTTTTGTCTCATAATAGTCGCTCCATGTCTCATATAATATTTGATAAATAACTTGTTGTTAGCCATATAATACACAACATGCTGGTTCTGTCATTTTTATTAGGTGATAACACATGAAGGTTAAAAATATGGTCATGAGCTAAGGCTGAATATAAAAAAGGACAGATTATTGGATTTAAAGGTAAGGCAATGCAGAAGTGCCTTTAACCTGCTTTCTTTTAATGGCCAACAGGGGGCATCAAAAAGAGGACCAAATGAAACAAACCATGAGGACAATACAGAGCTACTTCTCACTTGTTTTTATTCCCTCGGTTAATGTTTCCCTAAGGATTGTTTGGTCTTAATTTCTAGAATGAGAATGACTTTCATTTTTAAAATGTTGCCAATGTCTGCTACAAAACCAATGTGTGACATTAAAGAGGCTACACCCATTTCTTTTACACAAACAGTGATCACAGATTCCTGTTTACAACATGTGTCTCAGTGAATCAGGCGATGGGAGCAGAGTTATAATAATGAAATGAATAATAACATCGGCATTCCTGTTAAGTTCACCGTTGATGTACAGCCCAACTAAATTTACCGCAGAGTCACCTAAGCTGGATGTAGAAACCTGAACCTGTTGGCCACTTGAATACTCTTTGGGGGTGTATTTATTACAACAGCATCCATAAAACAAATCACATTTTCAGTCCTGTGCTATAAACAGTCTGAGCTTTCTGCCCATTTCTGCCTGATGTGCAGGAGTGGCAACTGAGGCCCTGGGTTACGATCAAAGACCTGAACAATGCAGAAAAGGAGGCAGGGGCCAACAAATGATTTAGTCCAGTTACTGGAAGATGACTTGCATTGGAGGTGCAGAGGGTTACTCAGGGGCTAAGTGATGTCTGATGTCAGCTCGGTGCTGAGCAGTGGCCTGCCCCCAGCAGCTGGACGGACTCATAAGTAATTCTGCATGGACGGGGGGGGACACAGGAAGACTGGGAGACTTTTTATTTATGCACCCTGAGAGAAGGGAAGTCCTGGAAGTTTTTATTTGTGGATGCATGTTGGAGCCCCCTTGTAAGATTTTACTGTGCAGGAGAGAAGAGCTAAATGGCAGCTAGACAGACACATGAATCAGAACTGCTTTGGTGTTTTTATTAGATTGAAATATGTGTCAAAAATAGACATACTCGTTATAGTATTTATAAGCCTTGTGAAAAGTTTCATTGTCACTAAATCTGATTTGAATGTGGAAATGTCCTGGCATTCATGCGGTTTGTTTTGTAGCATATTTTAAAGGCATAATGAGAGGGATTTGTTGGTTGGGGTTTGTAAACACAACACTGAAAGTCCCCCCCCCGCCCCACCTCTGCTTCCTCTTGGATTAGTGTTAATGATCTAGCACCTGGTTGCTACGTTTTTACAGGGTCCCATCATCACACCCTCATGGCTGTTATTGGCCGGGGGGGGGGGTTGATGCCAAGAAAAGTCCCAAACACAGCAAATTGAGAAAATCAAGGCGGAGGGCAAAATCTCTGCAAATACACAAGCCACCATACTTAATCATGAATCATAAGTGATGAGAGAAGGATTATTCTTGCAGGAGTGTGTACATCTTTTTTTTTAAGGATAATCCATTTTATTCTACCTCTGAAAGAAGAGTCCTTGAGCAGCACTGTTTTGAGCTCCATGGTAACATGCTCATAAGGACTTTGCTAACATGCTGATGCTTTGCCATTTGTCATTTTTATGCATATTACAAAAAAACACAACAAGAACAGACAAACATCCAAAACATTTGACTCAGACGTGTACAAAACCAGATGGAAAGTAAACCAAAATTGCTTTATAGCTGCCAGTCATACAGTAGGCTACACCTGGAAGCTTTATGCATGATATTATGTTCTAGACCAACTTCAATGCGGACCGTAACATGGAAGTTGGTCTGGCAGCTGGAAAGGTGTCAGGGCACTTCCTGAGTACTGTTGAGTTGCCCTTGAGCAAGGCACCTAACCCCTCAACCGCTCTGGTGCGCTCCCTGTGTAGCAGTGTGTAGCAGCCCCATTCTGACATCACTAATGCATGTCCACAGGTCCTGTTTTTACATGTGTGTGAGAAACATGTCTCTCAATAACAGTGTAAAAACCAGAATTCCCCCTCAGGGATTAATAAAGTAATACAATAAAATAAAAAACAACATCTGAAGTCTCGGAGAAGAAGTCTGAAGTGAGAGCAAGGTGAGTTTTCAAACTATGGCAGTCTTGTCCCAGAAGGCAAGAATGGGTTGCCAGGTTTCCTATTGCAAAGAATTTTAGGGTCATAAGAATATATAATTGTTTTGTTGTATTTGAAATATTTGGACCTCGAACTGCAATGACTCATATCACATTTATGTGATTGAAGCACCAGTTAGTGACAACAACCTGTGTGAGAGTTTCTTATGTAAATGTTGCCCTTCAGTCTTACATGATCCAACTGAAACACATTAATATTGTTGTCATTGCTTTTGCTGTTATTATTGTGGTTTTCACATTGTAATGAATGGCCGTACTTTATGCTCTATGAGAAGGTATTTTATTTCATTTGTCGAGGTATAAACTTCTATAACCTCGTCCGAACAAATTACAGAAAAATATATTCATTAGCAAGATGGAAAGAAGCCAAAAAATCAATTACCAGATGGAATGAAAAGACGTTTTCCCCTTTGACAAATGATGATTGTCATTAAACTATGATTAAAAAAAGGAGGGACGATGGCTTTAAATATGAATACTTCTTGTAATATCACACACGTCCAAAATCTCATTGCCTCAAATAATGAAAGTAATCAGCCTCACTCCTCTCTGCTGTTTGAAGAAGAGAGGCCCTGTCAACACTTCTCATTTACACTGCAGTACCAGCGCATGGAATATATACACAAACTGAGTAACCTTGTGACGCACACGTATGCATGCACACACACACACACACACACACACACATAGATGAACAGATAAACGCATGTTTCAGGACGATGAAACCAAAGATGTCTTACTAATTCCCCGCTAAGAGCAAAAACACCCAAGATAAACACTGGACTCTGCAGCATAACCACATACATATCCACACAAACACACACACAAGCACACACAAATACACACACAAACACACACACACACACATACCACAGCGAGGGAATTTCATCATCTCATTGTGCTGTGAAAAAACCTGATGGGTCATACTCAGGCTCTGAGAAATGGATTATTTTTTCTGTCTCTCTCTGGATGATCTTATCCTGTTGAGATGAAAAGAAGCCAAGTTGGACCGAAAAGTCTGTGTGTGTGTGTGTGTGTGTGTGTGTGTGTGTGTGTGTGTGTGTGTGTGTGTGTGTGTGTATTCAGAGTCTGCAGTGTCCTGATAGAATATTTTCTCCCCTGATCTGCATAAACCTTCCACGGCGAGAACGTGTTGGAGTGTGAGTGGACATTTCTCATCTCCTGCAGAGTGAGTGGGCACTCAGAGAGAGCAGATAGGTATTAAAGCTAAGCGTTTTTGTGTTTCGGGGGGGTTTAGCACGGTCTCATATGAGCAGAGTCTTGAGGGATTGAGGACTCTGCCGGTGGTGCTGGTGTGGGCAGGATGGGAAGCAATGTGGGGGGTTCCGCAGGGAGCTCATGGGGGCTTCATGGGATCTGGTCTTCTGCCAGTCAGGGTATAAAGGTTCAGTGTGTGAGGGGTTTCACAGTGCCCCCCCCCCCTTCTCTCTTACTCACTCTCTCAGGAAAGACGTGAAGTCAACAGACTGTCAGTGAGCAAGCGGGAGCAAGTTTTTAAGAGGAATTCAGATATTTTTAACATTCTTACAGTTTTAGGGTCAGAGTGGGTGTTTGTTTGCTCTAGTCTGAAACATGGACCAACTTTGTTACATGCATAATTACCTCAAGTTTGGTCTGTGTTCACACTGGGACATTAACAAATCTGTGATGCACGAGGAAAAGCTCTCTAATTACTAAATAAATAATTTCTTGCGGGATATGTCCCTGAAACAAAAAGTCTAGTTGACTCCTGCCTGGCTGCTCACTACACAGATTGATGTTGGCTCTGGTCATCGCTTTGTATAGAGTTTGCATTTTTCAACAGTAGGCACATTTCTGTGTTTTTAAAAGTTGTGAGATAATATAGTCATTCAACTAAACCTCTATGAGCAACTGCACCTCCTCACAAGTCCACATCTGTCCAATAGTAATCATGCTGCTGTTGTGGTAGTAAAAATGCTAACAATCCTACCCATAACGCACTGCATGAATGGCTATGGTGGCTGCTTTAATTGCAAAAAAAAAGTGCAATGCTTCCTGCAGTGCAGATTTCAAGATATTAAATCAATAACAATAAAAAAGAAGTAAGGCTGCTTGGACCAGGTTAAATATCTGTCAATGCAGCGAGCACATTTTACTTGTTGTGTGTCTCACTCACTAAATCAACAAATTTACTTTCCCCGAATAACTTGAAATAAGATGTTTATCTGGACCTGTCAGGAAATTGTGTCTTATATAAGTGTATGAGACTATTTTGAGACAAATATCCTGACTTAGATCTGAGTTTTTGCTGTTTTGACCTCTTTAGCAAAGATGTTGTTTTAAACAAGAAACAACACTTACATGATTCTCTTCAACCAGACTTCATTGACTGAACCAGTATTTTTACTTCTCAGGACACAGGAGTTGCTGGTGTACCATGGCCTTGATAACGTAGTTTGATTGTGTTATTGTGCAGGATTTGAACTAACTGTTTGGAACAGCAAAGTCACACAAACAAACAAACTGATGGAGCTAGCAGAAGATCGGCAGTTGTGTCAATGGAGTCTGGTGGTCTTGAAGAGTGTGGTTACGGCTGTTTCTGGTGGGGGAAAAGGAAATCTAACCATGATTCCCACTCTCTTTTCAAGAGAACATTTTCCAGGACTTTTCCAGGACATTTTCAGCGTTGATCGAGCTGGTATGACAGTCTGTGATTGTGCCACACCAATATTAAGTGAAGTCTTTAACAAGGTTAATCACACCCACTGTGAGGTACCGCTTCAAAGGTTAAACATTTAATATCATGTTATGGTCTGTTATTTACCCTTAACAACGCAGTTTTGAATTTGAAGAGACAATGCTAGCAAAGTTGAAGGTTAGCCAGTATTCGGCCCGTGTTTGGTTCACAGAGTTGGGTACCTATTCATTGTGCAAATGAACCTTTTTTTTTTCACGTGACACAGTTATCCTTTCCAATCTGCAGTTTATAAATATTGCCAATTGGCATTTATCAGACGTATGAAATAATTGTATTTCACTATCACTTTCATAGCGGAACACAGCCCAAGAAAGACAGACTAGAGAGAGAAATTCAGAGCAAGTTAGCATGTCACCAATAACGTTAACTAACTACTGTTAATGTGCTGACCTCAAACAGAGGAGAAAACACAAGTATACCTGAAAGTTTTTGCCACAATTCACTCTCATGGTGTTTTTTTCTCTTTTTGTGAAGGATCTTTTGGCTCCATCCTCTCAATTAAATTGTAAATAAATATTGGCTTTTGACACGCGGTGGGGGGGGAGGCGGAGCCATTACATTATCTATAGACTTCCATTCAACCTGTGTTGTGTATTATGTAACAAATAGATACTTTTATTAACGTGTGGCGGTGAAAATGTCCAACTCTGTAGGAGAGTGTTGGAATAATTTTCCAGGACAACACGTGATTTTCCAGGACATTTAAATTTTTCTGTCATTTTCCGGGTGTTTTCCAGTACTGGAAAATTTGTCAATTGTTTTCCAGGTTTTCCAGGACGAGCACAAACAGGTCTATCTCTGCAGGGATCCTTTCTATAATGTTGTCAGACTCTGAATAACAATCACAGCCTGTCGGTGACAAAACAACTTTTAGTGGACATACTTTTGACACATTTGCCTGCAGTGATTGAGTTGCAGCCATCACAGCCCATCTTGCTGCTGCCAGCTTTCTACTGCATCCTTTCCCATTTGTGTTATATCTTTCAATGCACCTTCTTAATATTTCATTGCTTTTATTGCTATCAATCATTCACCCTAAATCTGCAGCTTGATTCCTCTTTGTTTGTTCAGACAAATCCACGATGTAGCAGCCATCCAGGATTTGAAGGACGGCCGTTTAGCACAAAAGTGTGAAAGGAAACCACCATGTGTTTGCAGATGGTTGGCAGAGTTTGAGTGGGGAGTTTGGTGTGTGTGTGTGTATGTGTGTGGGTGACCTCTTACATATTACAACCTGCTTGTTACGAGCGACGAGACCTTCTTTACCTCATAGATTATAGGAGCTGAGGGACCACACTGCCCCTCCCTTTTTTAAAACCCCTTCTTTCTGCCAGATGCTAACCTGCATATTAGCCCTGTGTGTGTGTGTGTGTGTGTGTGTGTGTGTGTGTGTGTGTGTGTTACTGTGAGTGTAGGACATCCATTACCTATGTGAGTCAGAGGGTAGTGTAGAGGTGAACTTGCAGGAAGGCACTGTATAACTTGTACATGTAATGACTTTATTTTTTGCGTGCCTACACATATTTTTATCCCTCGCTGCAGCCGCCTTTTGCTTCATTAGCAAAGAACAAAAGTTTTTCAAAAGCAGCATGTGTGCGAAGGAGCATGTGTGTGTGAGTGTGTGAGTGTGTGAGTGTGTGTGTGTGTGTGTGTGTGTGTGAGTGTGTGTCATCGAGCCAACATGTGGTTCAGATTTCCTCTGCGGCCACATGGGCAAATACACAGCAAAGGCAGAGGAGATGCATGTCAGTAGGAGGCGCTATGGTTCTGCTCCAAATCTCTGCACACCTCTCTCCAAGAATATTTATCTTTGTTTGAGATGCTTTTACTTTTTTTTTTTTTTTAAATACTTTTTATTTGACAGTTTTGAAGAAAAACAATATAAAGTGTCAGAATGAGCATATATACATTTGTATATGGTTTGTATATATACATATAAGAGTAGATCTTCATATAAGTGCATCATCTATACAGGCATGGATAAATATTTGTTTAGCTCATTCTACAACAGAAAAGAAGAGTGAGCAAAAAGGAAGGGAAAAAAATGAAAGAATAAAATAAAAAGAGAGCAAAAGAACAACAGAGCATATTAACTTAAAAATAAAAAATAAAAAATAAAAAATAAAAAATAAAAAATAAAAAAATAATAAAAAGTGGGCCTTGGACTGTTCTACTCTAATAGTATTTATTTATCTATGTTTGTCTATGTGTTCTTCACCATGAGATGCTTTGACTTGATTTGAATGTTTATCAGTTGTTATTTTCAGTAGACATGTTTTTTATTTCATGTTTCATGTCTGTTTCTTACCCATGCTCATCTTAATTGGCAGCTTCTCCTTACTGGCTGCTTCTACTAGTTGCCGTCGGACCTCCATCACTCCCTCTTTGTGTTTATTGGTCAGCATGGCCTCCCATAGCGATTGTGCTGCAGACGACCTGGTGGGAAAAAAACAATCAAACAGCACATTTAGTCTTGGGAAATTAAAAAAACAACAACAACAACACTTTAGCCAAGGTTGTGCAGTGATTTCAGCTCCAACAGTCTGTTTCTGCTCCTGTTGTTTCTTCAGAGCCTGCAGGACTCTGAGTATAAACACAAAAAAAAAACGACACAGACGTGATTGAGTGCTCGTCTCGGAGCCTGCTGGTCGGGGGAGCGGTGGACTCCCCAGTGGGAGCCCTCACAGGAAAAAGCAGAAATTAGCGACGGGAACATCAGGAATGTTTTTCAATTCCACCTCAAACGTCTGTATGACAACAACAACTCCTCTGGTCTCGTCCTTTACAACCTATCAAGAGTCTGGACGCCGAGGCTCCTCCTGATACCATCTCAGGGTTCATCTCAGTCCCCTCAGTCCCTTGTCTCATTATCTGTGAGGTTACGAAACACAACTGATCCACATCTCTGATAGGAGACTGGAGGACGAGGCATGTGTGTGTAAGACTGTTTCCATCTGTTAGGAAGAGGGGAACCAGCTTCAAGTCTTTCACTGGGAGAATAAAACTGTATCACAGAGGATGCTTCACAGAGAGTGACACTTTATCTCATAAAACGACTCCTAGATCTGAATTCAAGCTCAAACTATTACATATTTTATTCCCCTATCTCCATCCCTCTCCTCTCAGATTTCCTGCCCTTTTAAAGCCGCTGACATTTTGTTGGCAGCATAAAAAGGCATCAAAAGCTACATCTGTGTGTGCCTCTGACAGATAGACTGACATTCTCTACTTTGTACCCTCAGGAGTGACCAGAAAGTGAAGAGAGAAAGAGGGTATACGGATCCAACGAGGGGAAAGGTAGGAGGGAGCTAGTTGACGAATCCACTGTTTTTCTTTTTCTTTTCTTTTTTTCTTCTTTTAAACCTTTTTTTCTTCTCTCGCCTTTTCTCCTTTTCTAACTGCTGCCATGTGTTTAATATCAGATGTAATCTGTTCCAGACGTTGGGCCAGGGGGGCTGGATGGGGAAGAGAGAGAGGGGCTCACACTGGGACAGCCGCCATCTTCACACAAGAACCAGACGCACAAGCCCGGGCGAACAGGACTCGACCCAGGACCAGAGTCTCATGTAAAAACTGATACTGTAAAAAATAAATAAATAAAAGAAGCTGGGTATTAAATAACAAACCTCCTCTTTGCTCATGTTGTGATTGAGACGTGAAGACCAAGTTGTGCATTACAGCTGTTAGTCAAGAGCTCGGACATGGTGTCATTTTTCTGGAAAACTTCAGAAAAACACCTCCCAGGGCAGTTGATGAAATTTTAAAACTTCTTTGATTATGCACTTGCAGAAAAACCCACATTCTTGTCATGCCTGGAATACCAATTCTGTGACTTGACCGGACCATATGTGTGCTGCGTGTGTGTGTGTGTGTGTGTGTGTGTGTGTGTGTGTGTGTGTGTGTGTGTGTGTGTGTGTGTGTGTGTGTGGTGTGTGTGTGTGTGTGTGTGTGTGTGTGACTTGCATCTGTATATGTTTGCACACAACCTTGAGAGCTTTCTTGGGAGATGGAGGGCCTCACTTGAGTTTGGATGAAACATGGTTCTAATTTGGCTCGTTGCCCATCCAGCCAACCCCCACCGCCATCAGCACCCCCCCCCCGCCCCGCTCCCCTGATGCTTTCTCTGGGGCCGTTTGGTCAGACGAAGGCTGAGAGGTGAGGAGGTGAGGGGGTGAGGGGGTGAGGGGGTGAGGGGGTGAGGGGGTGAGGGGGTGGGGTTTATATTGGCACGGTGTGAGACAGGTTCCATAACCAGCCAGAGACCTTGTTGAGTAACTTCTCCACTATAGCAGTAGAGAGAGAGAGAGAGAGAGAGAGAGAGAGAGAGAGAGAGAGAGAGAGAGAGAGAGAGAGAGGGGGGGGGGCTGGGAGAACGGGGCGCGTGTCGTTTTGGCCATCTTGTAAGCATTAAGTGCAGAGTGGCTTTGTCTGGTGACGCCTGCTCAAACACGACCTGTAGGGGGCACTCTTGCTCTTGACTTGTGTATATCATAGAAGTGAATGTGTCTGCTTAGACGGTGTGTGTGGGAGTGTGTGCTCAAACTGAATCCTCCCACGTGTGTAATGAGCGTTGTGCACATTAAAAAGCAGTTAACATGTTATATGGTAAGTTAAAGAAAGACGCTCGTACCACCTTAAAGAATGAACACGTATGAGCCCATTAAAGTGATGAAATACCTCTGACCGGGTCCAACTCATTAATGACTGTGGGAGGGAGGGGGGGATTTGATTCCTGGAAGTGTGTGATACAGCAGAGAAGAATGGCACAAACCGTTCTGACTCAGGGTTTCTTAAATGTTCCCCCCTCATCACCGGGTTCAACATGCGTGTGTGTATGTGTGAACACACATTTCAGTGTTTATTTCTTTACACTAACTCCCTCTCGTACTCACACAAGCAAGTGATTCAAATCAGTATTTTTGACATGATTCACATCTGAGTCACTCTATATACATACTATGATTGAATGTTATTCAAAGGTCAGTTTGCACATGATAGAAAAAAACACTCTTTTCTCTTTTGCCTCTTGCAGTGTCTGACTTTATAAGTTTAAACATTTTTCTTAGATAAATGCCTATCAGACTTTCACAGATGTGAAATTGAACGTGTTATCGATGTGCAAAGAATCGACAAAAACTATTTCAAATTTCAGAAGCAACAGCTCTATTTAGAAAAGAGGGTCCAATCTTTCTGTATCTTTTGATTCAGCTACATTTAAAATCTCTGATGGGGAGGAAGATGTGAAAACTGAAAACTGTGATGTTTGAAAAATTGTTTCAGTAACCAGAACAGTTTAATCTCTTTCTAACACACACTCTCACATATGTGAGAGCAGCATCTATGAGCATCGGACAAAATCTTTGTTGTCTGAGGTTTTCTGGTTTCTGTTGGTAATGACTGATCACATTTCTTCTGGTTTTTGTTTCTAATTGAAAACAGTGTTTGTAGAGGGCAAAAGACAATCATTGGCTTAAAAATGTTGAGGGTCAACAAATCTATTCTCAAGACCCAACAACTATTGTTTAAGGATGATTCAACTCTTTATTTATCTCCATAATCTGCATACTATTTGTGTGCAGAGTGCATTCTAATTTCCCTCTTAAGTTTTCAGTCAGACCGTAAACAACAACAAACAGAAGAGGAAGCCTAATATCCAATGCTGATTATACAGATACCTGCTCGACGTACCAGAAGCCAAAGATATATCGGCCAATTGTATGGCTATGGCCCCAGGAGGAGCTAAATGTCGCTGGTGAGAGGGGCGCCTGGGGCAACTTGCTCAGCCTGCTGTTACTGTGCCCCAGATAAGTGGAAGATAATGGACAGATGAATGGATGAAATACTTGAAAATGTAAAAAAGCCAATATGGATGCAATTTACTACATAGTTTTTCAGTTGAGAAACTCCTTATAAGTACTCAGAGATCGTGATTATTGGAAATCACCAGGTTAAATTTGTCAGAATTTGTATAACAATCACATCCACAAGCTAAAGTGTCAAGTGCATGTTGTTGTTAGTCTGTCCAAGGACATGACAATTTCACAGTTGTACAACTAGATTTTGATCTATTTCCCAGTAATCCCAGTGAAGAATCAGATACGCAGTGAACCCTCATGTAACAGAGGATTACAAGGTGAGAACTGTTCTTCACTGAGTGTCTTCTTAATGGATCAAAACTCACTGTCTGTTTCCTGTAACGAGTACATGAGACACAGAGAGGTGGACCAGAACCAGGCCTGGCCTTGAGTGTCTGTGTGTCCTGGAACAGGGACAAATGACCTGAAAGATTTATGGGGAGAAAAGAGGGAGAGGAGCTTTGCAGGAAGTGGGAGAGGAGGGGAGATGCACTAAAAGTTAGTAACACCTAAACAGACACACAAAGAGCTCTCAATCCCCCATTTTCCACCAGGGACCTTTCCAATTAAACTTCCATTTACTACAAACTTCAAAATATCAGAAATACAAAAGTTGAATCCAATATTTGCAGTTTAAATGTGTAATTTTAAATTAAAAAAAAAGACAATTCCTGAAATGTAACACTAACAGACTATTTAAGGGGGATTTATAGAAATATTTAACAAACCTTTTATATATGTTGGTGTCCAAATGGCTTAATGTTAAGAAAATGCTCCAGTTGGTTTGTTCAGCCAGCAGCTGTGAAACAGGCTGTAATGGCTTCATCATAATCCTTGGAGGAAGATTTTCTAGTTCAAAATCCATCCACTGAAGTTGATGTACACTGTACGATTTCAACCGCTTTAGACCCGATTGATGAGTCGCACAACTGATTTGAAGTCGAGCCGTATGTCAGCCCTGTTACCTGTTGTTTGTTGTGCAGTGTTAAGGAGGGCACAACAGCCAATCACGGCCCTCTCTTATGATTTTCTGGCCTGTCTTTAATTTGATACTGCATACACTTTTAAAAGGAAACTTACTGACAATTGACAACACTCTGTCCTGATTGTAACTCGTACAGTGTGAGCATATACATGGTGAGCTGTGTGTTGTGAGTTGTAAATGTGTGAGATGATATTCCACCATAACTTTTATACAATCCTAAAGTGTATGCCCGTCTTTAAAGTGATGTTCTTTTCACTGACAGGCTGGAGTTGTTATCCAAAGTGTCCAACAAGTTTTTTCCTTTTTTTTAGGGCCTTTTTACCTTTATTTGGTAAGACAGCTGAAGGACAGCTGAAGAGAGACAGGAGATGTGGGGAGAAAAGAGTGCGGCGTGCTGCATTCCTGCTACAGCTATTACAGAACAATTCACCTCTTTCACAAGGTCAAAAAAATCTGTTTTTATTGAAGGAGGTTTCCAAATACTGGAGTAAAAAAATAAAAACATTTTGAAGAATAAAAGTTGACATTTACAGCAAAAACAAACAGTCCAATTAACATCATCACATACCATTTAAAAATCTGATGTGACATAATGT